GGTATCCAGACTGGTGGGTGCCCTTCTTATGTGCTATTTTAATCAGTGTATCATTGGCCAAGTTGTTACCTATGTATGCTGTGTCTATCATGTGTTTATATTGTCCAGAAAATATTGTTAAGGCTTTAAGTAGATGGAACTGGCAAAGCTTGGAGAGAGAATGCTGATTGTCTTGACCAAAACAACAGCTGTCTATTCTCTTTCTTGTTTAGTTACTTAAAGCAATAAATCATCTATGAGTTTAGTGCACTGTGAGTAGTATCTATCATGTCACACACAAAGTCCTGCCCTAATGTCAAAAGGACTCCACCCTACAGCCCCCAATGGCTTTTTATGTTTCTAACTCCTGTAACATGATTTTGGGGACGAAAATGAAGCTCCTATGAAAACTGTAGAGCAGGTAAGTATGCTGTGCTTTTTCATCATTTGTAGAAAGACGATGGAAAGTGGAATTCAGATGCACCAGGTAAGGGGCTCAGTCACCTCCCATGTCTTGGGGTGGAAGGAGGGTGGAGACAAACACCTTTTTAAAACAAACCAAAAGACTCACATCAACAAATTATTGGAGGCAAGTCTCTTTTGGTTGCAAGTTTATTAAAATAAACCACATTTGTAATATATTTTTATAGAGCAGAACTGAAAACCCTTGTACAGCCACATCACAGTTGTTTCCTCTTGACAAATTCCCCACCAACACTCAGAGCTTAGAAAGGTTAAAGGCTCTGCCCAGAGGACAACTATTTTAAAATGACATTTTCCACAATTACACTCAGTTAATATCTGTACAGCATTTTTATTTAATAAAAATATCTCTTGGCACATATTTTAAAGGATCATGCCTTTAAAAAATATGCTAGTCAGCAACAGGCGAGAACAAAAAACTGCTCACAACTTTGAAAAGGCTAGGGGGGCCTTGTATCACTCAGCTTTGGGTACGCTTTTCAATAATGAAATGACATTTATGTCAGCTGTATTTGCTGTGGGGAAAAAAAATTAAAGGTGACTATAACTAATTTGAATTCCTCAGGGAGTTTGGCCCTAGTGCCAGGTTAACAATTCCTGAAGGTCTTGTTTTTCTTCCTTGCTTCTCTCCATCCCTGCTGATTCTGGCAAAGCATCAGTCTTCCGTGGTGGTTCTCAAATTGGCAGCACCTTGGAATCACTGGGGGAGCTTTAAAAAACACTGCTGCCCACAGCCTACCCGCAGAGGCTCGGATGGGTGGGCACTGGGATTTTTTAAAAGCTCCCTCAGGGGTTCTAAGGTGCAGCCAAGGTTGAGTACCACTGGCCACAGGATCTCTGTGAATTATCACAGCTTGTCCCTTGTGAAATAAAATGCTTTTTACAAATGGTAAATAACCAAGGTCCTAAAACCCAATCCAAACATCCTGCATGGAATTTTAAATACGGTTATTCCTGAAAGAAACTTTATTTTCCTGTGATTGCCAACGGGGTAAAAGGCCATGGTTTGACAGACTGACAAGGTCTGTCGCAGGAACAGTCAAAGCTGCAAAGACTTGTGTTTGGCACAAGGAGGCTCATGCAGGTAGCAGTCAGTCTTTGGGGCCGCAGCTATCACAGTGGGGATGCGGGCAATGTGGAGTTCTAGGGGGTGATCAAGTGATTGAAGTGGGACGTTCATATTAAGCTGTGGCTGAATTCCAATTCGATTCTTTCACGGGGAAAGTGTTTTCATCCTCTTCAACTCCAGAGGTTCAGGAGAGGGTAGTGGATGGAGTTTAGTATCACTCACAGGGCAGTGAGCGGGGAAGGAGAGGGATTCTTACCAGATCTGTTTGAAGAAATGCGGGTATATTGCTCTCAAGCGCAGACGGCCACAAGGTCAAAGTATTGACATATGGAAAGCCTAAGGCAACCTATGTTATCGGAGCAGTAAGACTTTTATATTGGGCTTGGTGTAGTGGAAAAGCCCAGTTGGGCTTTGGGATTGGACAGAGCTGGCTAGGAAGCTAACTGGACACAATGTACACATGTAATCTCAAGTTAATTTCTTCACACCTCCGAGCATCATCTCTGCAAGTGTGAAATGTGGCTAACGGCACCCACACCATTGGACTTTTATGAGGATTAATAAGATGTGTGTAAAGTGCTTAGTCCATGGTAACCACCCCGTGGGTAGCAGTTAATCATAATGTTGACAGGTGATCAATGTGGCAGAGACTGTTAGTGCTCACCCAATATCCATGGACATGTGTCATATACCTCTCCCAGCCCCTCCTGCAGTGTGGGGCCACAGACTGGCAGAGGGACATGAGCAGATGGGATGTAAGCTACTCCTGGGCCTGACTTTTAAAAACACCCCAAGGACCCCTAGCCCTTCTCCTCCAACACCCTTGGCATAGTTCAAGATGGACCATGACATGGGCATTAAATAAACCTTTGCTATGCTAAGCCACTGAGATTTTGAGGTTTATCTGTTATTAAAACATAGTTACATGCCATCTTAACTAATGGAAATACTATAGTAATCTTTACAGAGTTATCAATTTGTTAGTGGTTTATAAGTAACAAAAAAGATAAACGTGAGTCAAATCCTTGTCTGAGTTTTTTCAAATCTCCAAATTGATGATACTTGAGTTGTTGATGCTTCGTGGGAACAGCTTCCAAAAAACATTAGCAGGAGGCACTCTAATTTATTTCTTATGAAGCACGTTTTATCAGAACGCTAATCTAAACATATTAATCATGGCCCCATCTAAACCACAAAATGCCTTTCAGGATTGGCTCTCAGACGTAGCAGTGCTTATTAGTAGGAACATGTTGACCCAAAACTCATCACTCGTGCAACACATTCTGGCACAGCTCTTTCCACCTGGGCTCTGTCCTGCTGGGGCTCACAGCAGCCTGGGAGTAAAGATGAAGTCCTGAAAGGGCTGGCAACGGGAAGAGGCAAGGATGACTGGGGTGTGTGTAGCCAGCGGCTCAGCACTGACTCCCTGCCGGAAGTGCTGGGAGCTGACTGCGTGAGTAGGGCAGGGTGGGCCCCTAGTGATTAGCTCTCTGCCCGCTCAGTGACCTGCCGAAACGACTGGTGCAGCTTCCCAGGACAGTCTGGGTTTCCTGTACCTGGCTCCTAGAGTTTGGAATAGGGAAGCGTGTGCACGTCAGATCTAAGGACAAGACCCAGCGAGCCTTTGGCTGGTATTTCTGTGGTGGCTGTTGCCAGGCAAGGAAGCAAAATGATGTTCACTACAGGTTCCTGTTGATAACAATCAATTCTGTGGCCAGACTAAGAACTTAAACGAACCCTGGCTGGCGAGTGCTTGCTTCCCCAGCCCCTGCAAAACAGTGCGGTGTGGCGCTTCCCTCCAGCAGAGGCAGCCAGACTGCGAGAGTATTATTCACTATAGAGATAGGTACTTTTTAATTCCTGCGTCACTGTACTAGATGCTGGGAAGACGGCAATGCAGAAGGGCTTTGTGAACCACGATAAAGATTCTGGTCCTTGTGGTAAGAATAACGGAGGCCACTGATCAGTTTTAAGCAGGAAAATGACATCAGATTTGAATTTTGAAAACATTTTTCTGGCTACTAAATGAGAATAGTGTGCAGGGGGCCCAGAGGCAGTGCAGAGATGCAAGTTAAGAGGCCAGTGTTTTAGTCCAGGTGGGGTGTGCTGGTGGTTTGTACCTTAGTAGAGAAGGGGACAGACTTTAGAGTTATTTAGGAGCAAAAACTGACCAGATTTTGCAGTTGATTGGGGAGCGAGGGAGGTACTGGAGCTACCAACCTATTAGAACCAGCTGAGCACTGTCCTTATTTCCTCAGAGTAATAAATACTCCAGTGGCATTGCTGTTGTTCAGAACTTTTCTAGAACCTCTCACCTGGCTTAGTTTTCAAAGCTTGAGTGAATTCAACATTAGTCAACAAAGTCACTAAACCTGAAGTCTTGATACCTTTCTTAAGACCCAGGGAACTCTGTAATTTTTGGAAGGAGGAGAGTTGCTGGGAGACAGCAGCAGCTGGTGGGGGAGGTGCCACAGCTACGCATGTGGTAGTACAAAGGGAGTTATCCGTTTTGGGTCTGAGGGGCAGAGCCTGAGTTCCGCCCCAAAAGGATTTTTAATAGTACTATTTTTAATAGTAATGCTGGCAATTACAGCCTTGTCTTCAGCCAGGCACAGGTGGAAAACCACCCCCAGACTGGGGACTGTCTTGGAAAGAAGGTAAAGTGATTCATTTACCCAGAGACAGTTTCAAAACATGATCCCATGTTGGTTCACTAATGAAAGAAGAAGAAAAGTTTTTCACCCTGTAACTAATGCAGTAAAACTTAACACTTCTGTATTTAAATGTGTTGCTCCCTAGTCATAAAGTTCATCGTGGATTTGGATTTTTCTGCTGCCTTTAAATAATATAAAGGTATTTGATAATGATAAGAAACATATAATGATGGTGTGGTGGCTCACACCTATGATCCCAGTACTTTGGGACGCTGAGGCGGGAGGTTCACTTGAGGCCAGGAATTCGAGATCAAGACTGGACAATATAGCGAGACCCTGTTTCTATAAAAAAATTTTTTAAAAAAATTAGCTGGGCATAGTGGCACATGTCTGTAGTCCTAGCTACTCCAGAAGTTGAGGCATAAGGATTGCTTGAGCCCAGGAATTAGAGGTTATAGTGCTATGATGATACCACTGCACTCCAGCCTGGGGGGATACAGTGAGATCCTGTCTCTAAAAAAAAAACAAAACAAAAAACAAAAAAACAAAAAAACTGTATTTCACTTATCAGGGTAAGCATTTGAATGCTTCCTGTAATGGGCCTCTGTGTTCATGAACCTCCATCCTGGGTACTTCCTATCTTGTTGATTTTTCAACAAAAGGAACAAGAAAATCATTTTAGAAGGAAGAACCACCTGCAAACTCAGCAGTTTCTGGATCCACAAAATGCCTAAGAACAGTCTAAAATTCCTTTTCCTGAAGCTGGGGAACTATCAATCTAGCCTTGTCTCAGTCAAGTCCACCTTAAACCCCAATGGGCAAATGTCAGTTTTATTTTTCATTAATGGTGATTCCACCATTTCTCTTGGGCCCTGGCTCCAGAATTTAATCAGCAGTACAGTCCAAAAGTCCTCTACATCACACTAAACTCTTCTCTTGCTTTAGTCCAAGACCATTTTCTGCTTATTCTGTCAACACTGGAAATACAAACAATAGTCACTGCAAAAATTCAACAAATATTTGAAGACAGTTAAGATAATCCTTCATCATCTCTCATTGCAATGGTCAACCTTGATCTCTCTCCACTGTGAAACTGTAAAGGGATTTTAAAGTCACATCGTCTTACCTACGTGACAGAGGAAAGCAGGTTACAGCGACAGGCGCGATGAGTCACACGGGCAGCAAGCTGTAGAATGGGGACGATTTAGGGCTCTTGCAGTCTGGCACCACGTTCCTTCCACCACAACACACACTCAGCCAATCTGCCGCTTCCTGTTCTGTTTCTTCTCTCTAGGCTCCTACAGTCTCTAAGAACAGATAAGCCTAGCTGGATTTTTACTCTATTTGCAATATATCTAACAGACAAAGGATTAGCACTCATTTTATTTTTATAAAGAGTTACAAATCAGTAAGACATCAAAATGGACATATAACAGGAATATGCCATTCTCAAAAGAAGAAATAGGAATGGCTAAAAAGTTCAGGAAAAAAAATGCTATGGAACAATCTGAAAATTGTTAATTAAAAAAAATCATCTTCAACTGTTCTAGGAAAAAAATATTTAAAGACTAAGAATATCTAGTGTTGGCCAGAAATGGGCACTTTCATATCCTGTTAGAATATAAATTGATTAGGCATTTTGTAGGATAATCTGGTGCTACCAGTCAATTTTTGATCCAGAAATGACACTTCTAGTAATTTTACAGGAATATGTACAGAAAAATTATAAGAACAAGTTTGCTAACTGCAATTTTGTTTGTAATAGCCAAAAACTGAGGACATAATTTAGAGTGTGTTAAAAGATGAGATGCACAACATAAGCACACATAGTTGTGAATGTATACAGGGTTAATACACTATCAGATGTCTAAAAGATACCCAGCAAGCTCTTTATACAGAGGTTCCTTCTAGGTGAGGGAATGGATAGAAGAGAAGACTTCAGCATTTTAGTGTATATACTTTCATATTTAATTTTTGTGGTCATATGTATTAGGTAATCAAAAAAGAAAAAAGGAATAGATGAAACTTTGTTATGCTCAAGTATAGCAAAATGGTACATGGGCATGAGATGGAGGGGGCTAGGTTAGGCTTATGGGCTCCTGCAGGGTTTTAAGAACTCAAAACAGACCAGATCAAGATGGGTGTTCAATAACTAGAAAGGTTTGGATTCTTGAGCACAAAACATTTAAAAATGCATGCCTTGATTTGATGGCGGGTTAGTAGGTATCTTTACATGTCATCATCACACTGATAGCTTATGTGCATATTAGGAAAGAGTAATATTAAAGACAAGACATCTCACTATATTCTCTAAGATGAGAACAGTACACTTCTTTGAGTTTTATTTAAAATAAATGAAATAACAGCTCTCAGGCTAAATTATCAGCATATGATCATCTGCAATACCCAGGAATGAAGGAAATTGCTGTTTTCCATTCAGAAAGAAAAAAAATTCTTAGTAGCAGACACATGACCTTGGATTGTTTGATATTCACTGCACACACTCGTGTACTTGTGCTGTGCATCCAGTAATAACAAAGCTCCTGAGCATGACCTCCAGAGCATGGGTGCAGCACTCCCCACTGCCCCCCCACCCACAGGATCCATCGCTCTAGTGACTCGCTTAAGTCACCCATCCTCTACAGCTTCTCCTTCAACCAGTGACGCTTGCAAAAACACAGTTTTCTCCAGAACATTTCCACTTTTAATCTTGTTGAAATGATCTCAGTGTGTAATACAGTTCTTTCTAGAAGATATTTATCACTCTTCAACTTCATAAAAAATACTGTTTCCCAAAGTATTTATAACTTGCTCCTCAAGATAACCTTTAGTCTTATACTTTCCTATGTCTAGCTCAGTAACTGCACGTAGCAGATGCTCAATAAATGACAGTTAATCAATTTGTCGTCCCCTAGAAAAAGTTGTAATTTCCCCAACTGTAGTCCCACTGAATGACTCTTCCATAGCTTTTCATATAATCAGGTTGTCATTTCTCTCACCTTAGAAAAACTGTGGTCTAGTTAATAGTACTGTTCCAATTTAACTATACTGCTCATTTCTGTTTTGATAAATATAGTTATGTTAAACATTCAAGGAAGCTAAGTGAAGGGTATATTGGAACCCTGCACTAACTTTACAACTCTTCTTTAAATCTAAAATTATTTCAAAATAAAGTTTAAAAAACAAACCAAAAAAACCCAATGAGTAAAACAAATGGTGTTCTCTTGACCCCACTTCCCTTCCCAGTTACCACCCTATCTTTTTCCTTCTCTTTATAGTAAAGTTCTTTGAAGCTATTACCTATACTTTTTCTAATTTCTTTCCTCCCAGTTGTTCCTAAACACCCACTCTAGCGTTTTCACTCCCGCTATCCATCTTATCAAGATCTCCAATGACCTTGCAGTGGCCAAATCAACACTGAGTGGTCACTCACCCGAACCATCTTTCCTCCTGTCAGCAGCATCACACAGCTCACGGGTCCGTCCTCTATGAAACGCTTTCTTCATGCGGCTTTCTAACATTATACTCATCTCCTTTTCCTCCTACCTGTTTTTTAGGGCACTTTTTATACTTCTTAAGAGCCAAAAACTTCATCAGCCCCCATGACTTAGTATGGGCCACTGATATAGCACAGGCAACCTGAGACAAGTGAGCATCAAACAATTAACCACGATAGATAAAAACAACCAAATTTATAAAAGCCTTGAGTTCACAATGATACTTTAAATAATACCAACTCGTAATATGCTAAAATTCAGCAGTCCCAACCTTTGTGGCACCAGGGACTGATTTCATGGAAGACAATTTTTCAACAGATGAGGTGGAGCTCAGGCCACCGGTGACATCAGCGATGGGGAAGCTTTACTTGCCTGCCGGCCACGCCGGCTACATGACCTGGTTCCTAAATTTCATAGAAGGCAATTTTTCCATGGACATGGCGGGGAGGTGGGGGCAGACAGTGGTCACGGAGCTGGGTGGTGGGTGATCCACAGCCCAGAGACCACAGTGCTAATTATTGAATAAAAGGAAAGAAATCAAGCATTGATCCTACCTTTCCTTTACAGACTCATTTCAGGTAATCCAAGCTGATGAGGGACAGTTCTTTATAGAAGAATCACAGACAATAAATGCAGGAAGAATAGAAATGGATAATTAATCCTTAATAAGAAAACAGATACAGGCAATGATCAATGGCTAATTAAACAATTAGGTGGAAGTTTGATGGCAACCTTTAATATTAGATGAATCAGGCTGACAAAAGCTGAAACCACTGATCCATCTTAACAACATTAAAAGTGGGGCACACGTTATATATCTCATATGATGTAACAGGAAGTACACCACTTTATAATGTGGTTTTGCAAAAAAAAATAAATAAAAATCTTAAAGCTGAATATAAATAAGCTCTAGGTCTAATTACCAATTTACCTGAAATACAGAAGAGTGGAAAGGAGGATGGAATGATTTTAAAAACCTTAAAAAACCTACAAACCTAATGCAATGTGTGGACTTTTGATGCCACAGGGGAGGAACACAGCACTGAAGGGACTTAGATGATATTAAGGAATCATTGCTCCTTGTGTTGAGTGTGACGGTGACACTGTGGTCATGTTGAAGTGTGTACCTGTTAGAGATATATACTGAAGAATTTACAGGTGACATGATATAATTTCTAGGATTTGCTTTAAAATACACCAGCAAAAACAACAGCAACAACACAAAGAAGTTGAGGGTAAACAAAAACAAACAGCAGACTGTTGATAGTCATTGAAGCCAGGTGATGGATGCATGTGAAGTCACTTTACTATCTCCTCTACTTCGGTGTGTCTGACATTTTTCACAGGACTTTTTTTTTTTTTTAAAGTAGAGGTCACTGACCAGAACCAGAGTCCTAGAGAACATCCTTATCTTAGGGCTCCACAGCCACCTACCCACCTGGAGACAACCTGTTGGTGATAAAATGCTCCCTGCCTCATGGAAAGCCCCTTTGATGGCAAACTTATGGGGAAGAATAGGTGTTTGCTCCATTTTTTGGTGAGCAACGGTGCTCATACTAACATTGAAAATTTGAGAAAGACACATTTATCAGACTAACCTAATTGAGTATACTGTGGGAGGGTCTCATGTCATAAGAATAAATAATTTCTCAAATTCACAGGGACAGAAGATACTTAAGAGATCTGTTAATCCAGCTCATCAGCTCTGGGTAGGCCTTTTACCCACATATTTATGAAGTACTTCTTATGTGCCAAGCACAGTGCTAAACAGGACAGGACCCTACCCACATGAAGGTTACAAGTTAATAGACCAAATCTAAGATATCCAGCCTCTTGAAATCCTTTCAGAACAGGACAAGGAATAGCATATTAATAATAACACGCTCATGCAGTACTCTAAGCACTGTACATGTATGATCACATTGAATCCCCTATAACAGCCCAATGAGGTAGGTAGTAGGATTATCCCCTTTACAATTAGCTGCAAGTATGTAATTTTATTAATAAATGAGGCATAAAGCAGTTAAGTGATTTGCTCAAGGTCATCTAGTAATTGGCATAGGTGAGATTTGAACCCAGGCAGTCTGGCTCAAGGGCTTTCTCTAGTCTATACTCTCAGCCACCACATTATAAATACCAAGCCACCCTAGTTGGAGTTACTCAACTTGAGTATGGTAGAGATATGGATGGGCCTGGAAGACAAGGGCAACAGGACATTACTGGCCTGCAGACCAGAAAATTATGTTAACCACTTAGTACCAGAATGACAGAGCTGAAAGGAACACCCTTAGTAGTTCATAAATGGTGACAGTGGGCTGGCAGCAGGGTGGCAGGTAGAGCTGGATTCTCCAGGACAGGTGGCCCTTGCTCTCTGACAAGAGTAGGCACACAGCCATGGTGGTGATTGAACAGAGGCAGTGGGTGGCACCTCACTATGCTGTAAGAATTACAGCCTGCTTTCTAGCACTTTCATCAGAGCAGCATTGGGATGAGGCTCCACCATTCTATCTACCTTGGGGGATTGCCTCCCAAACCCAGACTTAGCAAGAGTTGAAACATTAGTTGCTTTCTTTCAGTCATTCAACAAGTATGTGTTAAGTAGCCGCTGGTGCCAAGAAAAACCCTGGTGAAAGAATGAAATAAAAAGTAGAGAAGCAGGATTTGGAAATGGCTCTTACGTCCTAATCAATCCTAAGCACATTTCCACAACCAGCCTGCCCAGTCACTGAATGGAACACAACAGTAACCAATGCCTTTGTCCCAAACAAGAATCCACCTCTAACAGAGTGTTAAGGCAGGGAGTGGAGACATAGAAAGGATTTCATTTGGGAAGAAGCTAACAATTAGGATACATACTTAGGATATTCATTAACGAAAAAGCAAATATGCTAGATATTCAACACCCTAAAGCAGTTTTCCAAATTATTTTCCATTTCCAAACTCAACTTAGATGGTCCAAATAAGGCTGTAGGCCATGGTAAAGTAAATAAAGGCATTAAATACAAAGAATTTTCAAAGTAAAATTATTAAGAATGTATTTAAATTATAAGTTTAGCAAACATAAGATACATAGATGGCTGTCAAATAATTTAAAACTAGCCCACAGTTCACACACAAAATCACATTTTCCTGTGATTTAATGTTAAGTATATATTGTTCTATTGCCTAAGGGCAAAACAAATCTATATTAACCAACTCATGGTACATGATTAGATAATTAAATAGTTATTAATAAAGAAAATCAATATAGTAAAATATAGTTTGATCAATGAGGTTCGTGCAAAAAGTTTACCATTTAGTCTGTCGGCTGGCTTTTCTTTGATTCTCCAGCTGGTCGCTTAGTTCACAGCCTTAAAAAATATGACAACTAAGTAGAGATCAATTCATCTTGCCACAATGACATCTCTCTCTTACGGTCCTGAGCAGATCTCACCACCTCCTTCTCTTTTCTGCCTTTTCCTGCTTCTACCACCACTTCTCAAAGCAAATATGTTCTTTGGGAACATGGCTATCTTCCAGTTGCTTGGAGAAAAAGTCCGTCATTGGAGGTGGGCCACAAATATAGAACAAAGTCTCTTTTGAAATATGATCTCTTATCTCCTTCTCTGTTATTCTTCCTTCTACCAAAAAGAATAAACACCAAATTAAGCCAGATGTGTTTGTATTCTTAAATGAGGAAGCACTAACCACAACTCAGCCACAGTATTTATTTGCAGTAACCGAAGCTGAGTGAGCCTAGTCTTGAGCCATTCACACAATGGCTTCCGTTGGCATCCAGGGCCAGACCTGAGCAGAGGGCATCTCCAGGCTGCCTAAACCATGGTAAGTAAAGTGGGAAGCTAATCACAATGCACTCTTCAGAAAGGGCCAGCTAGCTTACTGGTCTTTGGTGGAGACGCAAAACTGCCTTTACCAAAGTAAATAAACGTCTGTAAAAATCCTTCCAAACAGGAGAAATCATGAGTAATTTAAATGACCGTTAATGGCAAATATAATCAATTCAGTCAAGGCTGAAATATAAATTCTTTATATGTACACTACAATGATAACACAAAGGCCCCTAAAATCTGTAGGAAATAAATTTTTAATATGGGCAGTAGAAACCTGTATATAATAAGTAAATCCAACTAAATATCTCCTTATTTTTCCATGATGGATCATCTCAATTCCCCAGGTAGTGACATTCCCAACCAGCAACTCTCAACAGTAAAGCATCTAAATCCAACCAACTGGCACGTCCATTAAATAACTGCATTGGAGATAGTCAAAATATCTTTAGGAGACTCACCTGTGATATATGGCTTGAGTTCTGCACTGATTTGTGTAGTCTGTTTTGTAACATGCAAACTGCATGCAATCTTCTCAGGAAATTCATTTACTAGATCGAGGATATTTTTCTGGAATGTCAAACATACTTGGTCACACTACAATTTTAAAAAATAAAAACAGATGTGCACAACCATTGACGCTGAACCTCGACTCCCATTCCGCACACGTCTGCCGCTCTTGCTCTCTACTTAGAGTGATATTGTTTGCAGCCTAGCAGGCCAGAGCATTCAAAGTACAGAGGGGCTATTTGGCTTTAATTGAAATCTGAATATGCTAACAAGCATATTACCAACTCTCCGGGAGTTTTTTCTTTTTCCTTTTTCTCAAGCATTAGCAATTAAGCAGCAGTTCCACTGACCACAGTTGTGTCTTTTAACTGTTTCTGTTCTTTTGTTCATTCCTGCAGCTGCAAAAGCAATCCCCAGTGAAAGCCTTCCCCATCAAATGTAGTTTCAACAGATGCAACTCATGGGGGTTTCATTTACCCAGCTGGGTCCGAACTGTCTTAAGTCTTCGAGAAAACTCCAGGCCATGGTGATGTCTCTGTCCAACCTCCAGCTTCCATCCCACCAAAACCTACCCTTTCCTGTCACTGAACTGGAAGCCTCCTCACTATTATTAGCAGTTTTAACTGTCCTGGGTAAGATATGTTGGTTAATTCTCATCTGAACATGATTAAACCTTGCCAAGCCTTTTGTTTGAACCTTTGCAGAGAAAATAGAACCTAGAGAAGAAATTTTCATGAACAATTAATTAATCCACTATACAAATTTGCTTACAGCAAGCTATGAAACACACACTTCTCCCCTTACCTTAAACAGGAGTTCACTGGTATCTTTTGCACTGTAGAATAGTTTTATTGTTCCTATCTTATATCCACTTCCTTTGTTTGCCAGCTGTCTGTGCAGATCTGCTGAGTGCCGCAGGATGGAAAGCAGGGGGTTAATTCCAACTCCTCCTGCAATCAACACGAGGTTTCTAGAGGCATCTGCAGGCTGAGGGTCAAAGAAGAATTCTCCACCCACTCTCACAGCCACTTCAGAGTCAAGTGTACACTAAGGCAGAAAAGAAAAGATCCTTTAGTCCTTTATAGCACAGGTCTTAAGCCAAAAGTTCTACTTTAATAAAACTAACTGGGTCTACTGCATGCATTTTTATCAGTATTTAGGACTGTTTTTACAGCTTGCTTCCAATTTTCCTGGGGTCCTGTGAATTGATTCCACTTGTACATTATAGAGGCATTTGCTACTCTGCTTTCATAATCCATACCGCACAGCCACTCCAACATTGAGAAAAAGAGACATGCTTCAGTTATTCTTCCATTTGTTAACTTCTTAAGTGATGAACTGCATTGAGGAAAGAGGCAACGGACTTACAGGCAGGCAACAACTCTGAAGTATGGATCTGCCTTATCTGAGTGGTGCTCCTGTGTCTGATCCAAGCAGAGAGGCAGGATGGCGTGAGTGTCACTACACTGGCTGCCCTGGGCTAATCGGGTGTGAGAAGTTTGAGTGCAGGGGACTCCCTCCTGATCCCCCGTGAGGCACAGCCAGACCATCTCTATATAGGCTTAGCTCAGCACTGCAGTGCTAATCAGTGCTGTTCCCTTCTCCTGAGAGCAGCAAGAATAGGCAGCCAGAGACTTCCCATTAGGGGGTGAGTATCACAAAGACCTACCTAGATAAAGCACCTATTGTTTGGTCAGTCACTTATATCAGAAATATTATCAGAGTTCAGTGTACTGGTTCTCAATGGGTTGATACTGCCCCTGACGGGTGTTTTGGAAACTTGTGGTGACTTTTCTTTATTGTCGCAGTGATTTGGGAACCCAAATAGCATTTAGAGGGCAGGGCCAGAGATGCTAGAAATCCTGCAAAATTAGTGGTGTCCTGGGGCTGGCTCATACTAAGCTGATGGTTAAATGTGCAGGAATTTTGTGAGCCAGTTTCTACTGGCAGTTTGAAATCAGCCATTGTGGGAGTATTTACAGCACAGAAATCAGCAAATGATACAAGTCAGGGCTTTCTAAAAAAATTCAGATAGCTGGTTTACCAGCACACCATTATCTGTACTGCACAGCACTGTCCTGCACAACTTCTGAATAGCCCACAAGACATTCACATAGGTGAAAACTGGTTTGTAATGATCTGACACCAGACCCTGACTAATTTTACAAATAAACTTGAAGTATTTTTTGCACAGATCTAATTTGGTCCTAATTTTCCAGGATGTAAGTACCATGTACACTGTACTTTGTTGTGTTCAGAACTTTACCAAGCACATTCAGTGTTCCAGAAAACCACATCATAGATGGTGTCACGTGTGGTCCTCCTGTTACCCACACAACACACATGCAGACATATCATCTGCATCTGTAGACAATGTATTCACGGTGATTCTATGATTAGGAACAACCATCTGACCGTTCATTCTATATTCTAGTTTAGATATGTCCAATCACTTATATACTGAATTACATATCCTTTGATTATAGATCACTTTTCTTTACTTCTCCTTTGTATTACAGTTAGATAATTATGCTATTATTTTTTAATTTCATGTGTTCGTAACACTGTGAAATTCCAGGATAGTTCTAGAAAGGGGGCATTGGCGCTAACAGGGTTGGTAACCTCTCATTTGGATAAAAACATACTGACCTACAAGTCAGAAGACTGAAATTTAATCACAAGTCCGTATGAAATCCAGCAAGTCCCTACCTTCTTCAAGCCTCTGCTGCCACACCTGGAAAAATGGGTAACAGTGTCTGTCTGCCCTGCCCACCTCACAGCGTTGTTGTGGACATCAAATGATTCCCAGTGGGGGAAAGCGTCCTGCTGGTGTCAGGCTCTATGCAAGAGGGTATTTTAGTCACTGAGGTTGTCATAGAAGAAGTGCTGGGGGTGCCTGCTTCCTTCTTCCCTGTCACTAAAAAACAGAATCCAGGGCCTGTGGGACAAGATGGAGTTACTGCAGGTCGTGAAGTGAGGGCTACGGCAGGTCTGAGGCCATGGTGGCTTCCTCGGCTATCCACAAATCTTATTCAGGGCAAATGACGTGACGGTCGGTACATTAGCGGGGAAGACAAATATGGAAACAAATACTATGAAAACAGCAAGCAATTTTTTGGCCATCACTGACGGGTTATATATACCACTGAAATGAATGGCAAAACACATTGTGGGATGTGGATGGAAGCATGGTGCCTCTTGAACAGCATTGCTGGCTTCACTTTGTGACTGATGATCCTCCAACAGCAAAGCCACACACTGCTTGTACATTCATTTGGATAAACCATAAAGTCAAGGTGAGTGGCACCCCAGAACAATATGTACCTTATTTCACTATTACAAAGATTTAGAGTAGGGTCCCACCTTTATAACCCCTTGTAAGTAGAGACAATGAAAAATAGTTTAAACGTGAGGCTTTTCATGTAAATTGCACTCTTACTGCTTACCATTACTTTGATTAAAAAAAAAAAAAAAAAACAGAACCCAAGATAAAGAAATTTTAAGAGCATGGATTTCTCCTTACATGTTCCTGGCATAAATCAACTGATTAACTCCCTCCTAAGAAGTAATAACATATCACATGCTTTGAGAACCAAATCTTTAGCGTTCACATCTTGGCATCTCATATGGTAGGTGAGCAGTAAATAGTTTTGGACATGAATTTAATTTAGGCTCTACAACTTAAAGATGAGTTAAACTTAGAGAAAATCTAAAAAAAAATGAAAATTATATGAATTCATAAAACATGTCCTTTTTGGTAAAGAACTGTTGAGTGAATGGAAACTCTTTCTCTGAGGGGAAAAAATGTTTGAACTTAACTATTTTAAATATGTAGGAGATTTTTATGTGAATTATGATAAGTGGGTTTTCATTTTTGACAAAAGAAATTAGCAGCAAGGGAGCATTCGGTTAGGAATAACTAAAATCTGGGAATTGCTACACTGGCTACCACAGTGCTTTAAAATGCTCCCTCCTCTCAAGTCTCAAAAATAGAATCTAAGACACAAGAGGCTCTGCCTAATGATAACAATGGATTTCATCTTCCTACGAACTCCTACCCTCCCTCTCTCTTGCTTGCCTGTACACTTCTTTCTTTATAAGTATCTGGGAGTGAAAGATACTGAGAAATGAGAAATAATTTTCTCCAGTGGCCATCTCTGGCATGCTTAGTAATGACAACAAAGAAAGCCTTTAGGTTACTGCTTTTAGACACTAGAGTATTTTCAACCCTGAAGTTGGCAAGAATATGTGCCCCAGGGAAAGATAATACTCAAGAAGCCCGTCTTCTCCCTAATGACAAAATAATCTCCGGTAGGTCTATCTTCTAATTTGCTAGCATCTGGAAAGAATCAAAAGGCACCTTTGTCTTTTGTAGATCAATAAAAACTGCGAGGGTAGCATGAACACAGGACTCAAAGTACTGAACAGTATAATATATAAGTGAGTAAAAGGGCATTACCTTCAATTACATAGCAATGTATCTAATTTGGGTATAGATTTTCTACTTGTGAAATAAACAACCTTTCCCCAGCAACTGGAGCCAAGCACACAATAGCTGTCTAGAACCCTTTACCCTGCCAGGAGTTTGAGCCAAAGCAGATAAAATAAAGGAAACATTTATGGCACTTTATTCCATGTCCCAGCAGTGAGGCTGCTGCCACCCAGACCCTCACGTGCCTCCATTGTCCACTCTAATAGCTTAATAAGACAAATCCTCAGGAGAAAAATAGCTACCTGGAAATGGTTCCAAGAAAAATCTGCCCTCATAAAGCTGTTTGCAACTCCCACTGGGCAGAGTAGAGCCGGCACTACAATCAGGATGTGCATTCAGGCAATGCCACTTTGAGATTTTCTACAGCCTCTGAAAATAAGTTCCTTCATTGAATGCCAATGAGGCATGAAACCTAGCGGGAGCTGGGGACCAGGACTGGGCCAGGTCATGTGAGGACCTCTGGGGATGGGTGTAGGGAGGTTGCTCATGGCACTAGGAGCTGGGGTGGCCATGCTCATTTCAACTCTGAGTAAGGGGCATGTGGACACCTTGTTGGTCCCACACCAGCAGCATATTTTAGAGCCTCAAGAGCAGCCTAGAGACAGTAATGGGTGGAAAATCCATAGAGAATCTAAAAATGAATGAGGCAGCTGAGGCAGTATTGGAGGAGAGACTCAGATGTTGGAGGGTAAAAATGTGACAGGATACATTTACAATGGAAATGCCAACACAAGTATCTGGGGATTATCCTGAACAGACACAATTTGACATGTAAACCACAAGATTGTATTTTTATGTCCTTATGAAATTTTTAAAAAGTATTTTTTTAAATCTTCTTATAGTAACACTTTTTTTTTCTTTTGGTGTGAATTTTAACACACATATAGATCTGTGTAACTACTTTTTTTTTCTTTTGGTGTACAATTCTATGAATTTTAACACACATATAGATCTGTGTAACTACCATCAAAAGCTAGAACAGTTCCATTGCCCCTAGAAACCCTCTTGTTCTATCCCTTATGTTCACAGCCTTCCTTACCCCAAGCCTGCTCAACCACTCATCTGTTTCCCATCACTACATTTTTGTCTCCCAGAATATGACAGAAATGGATTATACAGTATGTAAACTTTTGGGACAGGCTTCTTTCACTCAACATGATGCCACTGAGATTCACCTGTTGTGCATCAACATTTTTATTGCTGAATAGTAGCCCATTTTATGAACATGTCACAGTTTGTTTATCCATTCACCTGCTGAGGGACATTTGGGTTATTTCTAATTGTTTATAATTATGAATAAAATTGCTATAAATATCCATGTTTGGGTTTTATATGAACATAGCTTTCATTTCTCTGGGATAAACACTCCAGAGTGGTATTGCTGGGTCATTTGGTAAGTGTATATTAAACTTTATATATATATATATGAAACTGCCAAAATATTTTCCAGAATAGCTGTACTATTTTATATTTCCATTAGCAATATAAGAAATATACGAGAGTTCCAGTTGCTCCATATCCTTACCATCACTTGGTATTGTCAATGTTTTTAATTTTAGTCATTCTAATAGGTCTGTAGAGCCCTTCCCCAATGGTTAATAATGTTGAACATCTTTTCATTGTTTATTTGCCATCCTTAAATTTTAGCCAAGTATCTATTCTTTACCCATTTTTTACCCAATCCTTTACCCATTTTTTAAACTTATGTTGTTTTCTTTTTGTTGACTTTGAGAGTTCTTTATACATTCTGGATACAAGTCCTTTGTTGGATATCTGATCTGCAAATATTTTCTCCCAGTCTGTAGCTTTTTAATTCTTCTAAGTGTCTCTTGCAGAAAAAATTTTAAGTCTTATATATCAGTTTTTTCTTTTATGGATCTTGCTTTTGATGTTATGTCTAAGAACTCTTCATCCACCTGCCAGTTCCAACTATTTCCTATGTTTTCTTTTAGAACTTTTATATTTCCATGTTTTTACATTTATATCTATAACTCATTTAATTTTGAATAAAGGATGAGGTTTAGGTTCTTTTTTGCATATAGATGTATAGTTATTCCAGCACTATTTATTGAAAAGGCTATCCTTTCTCCATTGAATTTCTTTAGTGCCTTTGTTAAAATGAAATGGACATATGTATGTCAGTTTATTTCTGAACTCTTTATTCTGTTCCATTGATTAATATGTCTGTGCTTTCAACAATACCACACTGTTTTGTTTACTGTAGCTTTATCTTAGTTTTATTTATTTTATTCATTCAAATTTTATTTGCCTGGCTAATTTTTTTTCTATTTCTAGTAGAGACAGAGTCTCACTCTTGTTCAGGCTGGTCTCGAACTCCTGAGCTCAAGCAATCCACCCACCTCAGTCTCCCAGAGTGCTAGGATTGCAGGCGTGAGCCATCGTGCCCCACCTGTAGCTTTATTTTAATCTTAAATTTGAGTAATATTATTCCTTCCATTTTATTCTTTCCTTTCAAAATTGTTTCAGTTATCCCAGGGCCTTTTTATTTCCATATAAATTTTATAATCATCTTGTCTGTATCTATAAAAAAATTCTGTTGAGATTTGAATTAGTGTTACATTAAATCTATAAATCAATTTAGGGAGAACTGATTTCTTTACTATGTTGTCTTCTAATTCATGAATATAGTATGTCTCTCCATTTACTCATGTCTTCTTTGATTTCTTTCATGAAATTGACATGAACTGTGATTTTATTTGGACCAACTGTTTGCAAGAAGGTTCTATATTAGGAGATGGGCCAAGAAAGTGTCCTAAGCTAGCTGGTTTTCACAACACAAAAGCTCTCTTCAGCCACTACAAGGATATGTTATTAAATATGTCCTACAGATATGGCTTGTTTATGGGGTTTTTGGTGTGCCTTCTCTCTTAACTGGGCCTCACTATGTCTAGGTGGAACTTCTGCAGCCACAAAACTCAACCTTGTTTCCACACCCTCTTTGGAAGACCAGGACACCAAGTCCCACCCCCTCTCTCATGTATATACTCTCATGTATATTTTTGTTAGTGCTTTCTGAGATCTGCAACTGTTGGCCTTTCTCCTCTACTTATTCCCAGGTGGCTCCTGCATAAACACAACAATTATCTACAACCTTTAAAAATATACTGAAGTGTGTTTTTCAAGTGCTGCTGAAAACAAAGTTAAGAGTTTTTATTTTCTGTTTTCCTTTGTTGATTCTCAATGACTTCCAGGAAAGAAGGGAAGAATGCTGAGTTTTTGAGGCCATACTTTAGGGTACATTTCTTTTTGGTAAAGGAGGTAAGAAAATGCCTGGGATGGGATGGAGGCTGTTGGTAACTACAGACAGAAGACATGCTCTAGTAATGAAGAAGATGGCAGTGAAAAGGAGACAAGGGTCAAAAACTAAGACAAGTAACTAACTGATCTGTTCTGAGTTCATTCTCTGTTATCAGGGTTCTAGTAGGTAATGATAGGCAGCTTATGTAGGACTGTGTTGAATGAGCCCTGTGGTGAAGCATGAGTTATTAGCAGCCGTCATCAAATGTGGCTTCCCTGTCAGAATCCTGTGTGAAGAGCTCTCTGGGGACTGAAATGGAGAGGTAATGGCACCACTGATTTAGCTGTTCTCATCACTGGGCAGCAGCAGTACTATGTAATCAGATAGTTTCCCCTCCAAATAATGATGGAATGATAATTTAATTCCCTTTATTTAGGGTAGTTAGGAAAAAATAACTTGATTTATAAATTTATCATCATACATGACATAGAGACCCAATTTTCAAAAGCTTACATAAAATATACAATATTTTAATTCTATTAGTATTCAGTTGAATACTGTTTGGTGACCTGGAAAATATTTCCAGATGCCAAAGTCTCTTTGAGTCATACTTAATATGCACAAAAACAATTCTGTTTCTTTGACCTTTCTGGAAAGCTCTTTGTGAACATGTACCCTTTTTACTCAAGCCCAGGTTTCTTAGGTGGATCAAGCTAAACACAAATTTTGTGGGAGGCAGAGATCCCCAGATCACCAAGCTTAAAACAGGCAGTTTGCTCACCTTATTGTGAATCCAGAGAGCAGGAGGGTGATTCGTATATTTCACTGCCAATTCTATCATTCTCTCTTGTTCTAGCAGTCTTGGGCTGGAGTATATTGAAAATCCACCAACCACAGAGACTCCTGGGATAAAGAAATCAACCCTAAAAGGAAAGACAAATAAATGATTATTGTTGAAACTATTTTAAAAATAGGCAGCAAAATAAACTAAACTAACAAATCTTTAGCTAGACTAAAAGACAAGATAAATTAATAAAATCAAGAATAAAAAAGGGACATCATCACCAACCTTATAAAAATAAAAAAGCATATAAAGGAATTTTATAAACAGTTGTATGCCAAAAAATCAGTTAGCTTACATGCAACATACATTCCTAGAATGACATAAACTACCAAATCTGACTCAAGAAGAAACAAAATCTGAACAGACACATAACAAGTCAATGGACTGAATTAGTAATTTTAAACTTCCCACAGAGAACTCAGGTCCAGATGCCAGCACTGGTAAATTCTACCAAATATTTAAAGATGCATTAATACTAATCCTTCATAACTTCTTCCAAAAATAGAAGATAAGACTTCCCAACTCATTCTATGAGAACAGTATTACTTTCATACCAAAATCAGACAAAGACACGGCAAGAAAAACTACAGAGCAACATCCCTTCTGAATACAGACACAAAAATTCCAGGAATACAAGACTGGTTTAACATCTGAAAATCAATGTAATAGACCACTTAGTAAAATAAAAGACAAAAACTCACATGAGTATATCAACAGATACAGAAAAGGCATTTGAAAAAATCCAATGCCTTTGTATAATAAAAGCACTCAACAAACTAGGAATAAATAGGAACTTCCTCAGCCTGATAAAGGGCATCTACAAAAGACCCACAGCTAACATCATACTTAATGATAACAGGATGAAAGTTTCCCCCCCAAGATCAGTAACAAGACAAGGATGCCCACTCCCATCACCTTTACTCAACAAAATACTAGTACTAGTTGGCTAGTATTCAACTTACTAGCCAAGGCAAGTAAGCAAGAAAACGAAATAAAAGGCATCCAGACTGGAGAGGTGGAAGTTGCAGATGGCATGCTCTCATATATAGAAAATCGCAAGGAATTCACTAAAAAGATATTAGAACTAATAAACAAATTCAGATACAGTTCCAGGATACAAGATCAATATACGAAAATCAACTATTTCTATATACTAGCAATGAACAATCCAAATGTGAAATTTAGAAAAACAATTCCATTTATAATACCATATAAAAGGATAAAATAATCGGGAATAAATTTAACAAAAGAAGTATAAGCCTTGTACACTGAAAACTATAAACACTGTTAAAAAGAGTAAAGATCTAAATAAATGGAAAGATGTCCTATGTTCATTGAGTGGAAGACTTAATATTGTTAAGATGGCAATACTTCCCAATTGATCTAAAGATTCAAAATAATACCTACTAAAATCCCAGGTAGTTTCTTTGCAGAAACTGACAGGTTGACCATAAAATTCATAAGGAAATTCAAGGAACCCCAAATCATCAAAACAATCTTGAAAAAGAAGAATACATTTGGAGAACTCACACCTCCTGATTTCAAAAGGTACTTCAAAGCTAAGTAATAAAGATACTGTGGCACTGACATAAGGACAGACATGTATATCATTGGAAAAGAATTGAAAGTCCCAAAACAAATTCTTAAATTTATAGTCAATTGATTTTTTTTTGTCTTTTTGTTTTGTTTTGTTTTTTTTTTTTTAGACAGAGTCTCACTTTGTTGTCCAGGCTAGAGTGAGTGCCGTGGTGTCAGCCTAGCTCACAGCAACCTCAAACTCCTGGGCTTGAGTGATCCTTCTGCCTCAGCCTCCCGAGTAGCTGGGACTACAGGCATGCGCCACCATGCCCGGCTAATTTTTCATATATATATCAGTTGGCCAACTAATTTCTTTCTATTTATAGTTGAGACGGGGTCTCGCTCTTGCTCAGGCTGGTTTTGAACTCCTGACCTTGAGCAATCCGCCCGCCTCGGCCTCCCAAGAGCTAGGATTACAGGCGTGAGCCACAGCGCCCGGCCTGTCAATTGATTTTTGACAAGGGTGCCAAGACAATTCAATGGCAAAAGAATAGTCTATTCAACAATGGTCCTGGGAGAACTGAATTTCTACATGCAAAAGAATGAAGTTGGACCCCTACCTCAGGCTACATGCAAAAATTAAGCCAAAATGGAGCATAGGCTTAAATGTAAGAGATAAAATTATAAACTCTTAGAATAAAACACAGGAGTAAATCTTCATGGTAGTAGTTTCTTAGATACCATTCCAAACTAAAACAGTCAAAGAAAAAATAGAGAAACCAGACTTCACCAAAATTAAAAACTTTGTGCTATAAATGATATCAGTAAGAAAGTTAGAAGACAACACACAGAATGGGAAAAAATATTTTCAAATAATATATCTGCTAAGGGACTTGTACTCACATTATATAAAGAACTTTTACAATTCAATAATAAAAAGACAACCCAAATAAAAAATAGGCAAAATATTTTAATTAATATTTCTTCAAAGAAGATATATAAATAGCTAATACGCACATGAAAGGATGCTCAACATCACAGAGCATCATGGAAAGATGCCCCATGTTCATAGGTCATCAGGAAACTCAGACAATGAGCTACCACTTCATACTCACTAGGATGTCTGTAGTCAAAAAGACTAACAATAGCAAGTGTTAGTGAGGATCTGGAGAAACTGGAACCTTCATACATTGCAGGTGGGAATGCAAAATGGTACAGTCACTACTGAAAACAGGTTTGTGGTACCAGAAAATGTTAAACAGAGTTACCATATGAACAATTTCCACACCTAGGTTTATACCCAAGAGAAATAAAAATATATGTCCACTCAAAAACTTGAACACAAATGTTCAGAGGAGCATTAGTCATAATAGCCCCAAAGTGGAAACAATCTGAATGTCCATTAATATATGAACAAAATATGGTATATCCATACAATGGAATGAAGTACTGATACATACTACAATATGGATGAACCTTGAAAAATCATGTTAAGTGAAAGAAGCCTGTCACAAAAAGATTACATACTATATGATATGATTCCATCTATATGAAATGTCCAGAATAGACCAATCCATAGAGATGGAATGTGGTTGCCTAAGGGGACCGGAGGAGGATAGGGTGTACAGTACAGGGTTTCTTTTGGGGATGATGAAAATGTTCTAAAATTTGATTTTGCTGATGGCTACACAACTCTGTGAATATACTAAAAACCACTGAATTGTACATTTTAAATGTATAAATTTTATATGTGAATTATATCCCAATATACTTTTTTAAAGTGCAAAAAAAAAGGGCAACAGAAAAACCAACAAAAACATTCTCACTGTCATTTGCCAGAATTAAATGAGCTGATGTAGCCTTCAAGTTCCAAAAGTTTTCTGTTTTCTTCTTTTCTTCTAACAAAACTCCTATAGTCTAGAACTCTTATGAGTTTCAAGCCTTCAATAATACCATGCTACAGAAACCCTTTTGTAGTGGAGATTCTAGAAATTGCAACAAACCTAGTCACATAACAATAATAAAATTTATTAGAACATGGGACCAGAAAAATTATCCCCATGCCTAAGAAATGTAAACATCCAATCCAGGTGTTAGCCATCAAAGAGCAAAAAGTATCATCTTTTCCAAGCCTAAGATGTTCTCTGATTTTATCCATGATCTTAAAAGATATTCTCCTCTAATCTATGGCCTTAAATATCCAGCCACTTATAATAGTCTTAAAAAATCAGTTCTGGATTAGAAGTACTCCAGAAAAGGTCACTAGTCTACTTTCACTTGACTCTTTTCCATGAATACTTTAAATTTCCTTTCATTTAAGACAAAATAAAATTGAAATGCCTATCATTAGCATTTATTACAACAGTTTCTATATGCTGTCAGAGAGGAGGTATAGAAAATCTCTACTATTTCCATGTTTAAAAATATAAATGAGCTACTTTTGCTGCTTCATCTCCTGAATTACATCGCCCTCTGCTGCTCGATGCTGATAAAGACCTTTCTTTAGGGTGAGCAAAAGGGAACCCTCTTTTCTAGTAATTCTGGCAAGCTATCTTTGGAAAAAAAGAACTCTTTCATTAAATAATACAGAAGAATTCAAACTATATAAAAACCCTGTCGGAATAGGTTTAAGGAATATGCACAAAACATATTTTACAATACATCTGTCCAAGAACAAATTAAGCTTTAAACATATACCTTTAAAAATGCCCTGTGCAGGACTGGTACTCTTGGAGCCACAAGTTGAGGCACTCACTGCACCCAGATAAGTGAGCATATGCAAAACTGAGAGGAGGGGCCCACATGTGCCTCAACATACCAGGCAGCCATGTCTGCCCACAGAGGCAGCTTTAGTGCCCAGCGCATGGTGGCCATGCAAACCATGGCCGAATAACAATGTTATATTATGAGATCCCAAAATTCTTCAGTCCTTGGCCACAGTATTCAAAGTTCCTCTCTCATTCACTTGTGCAAACACTACAGAGAGCACCTGTCTACCATGTATAGGCACTGTGGTATTTGCTGGAGGTACAAAGCTACACATACGTTCCTGCCCTCAATAAACCCACTCTACAAGGAGGAAAATTAACAAACAAATACAATTAAATGGGCTACGATAAAATCTGCTTAGAGTGGGGGGAGGCAGGGCAGAGAAGAGAAGAGTCAATTCTACCAAGAGTGGAGAAATTAAGAAAGACTTCACAGAGGAGATGCCTCTTAAACTGAGTCTTAAGAGACAGTGCTTACCAGACAAGCAATGGAGGAGGATACACCCTGAAAAACGCCAAGGATTGCAACACTTTTTATGTGTGGTCCTATGAGAGTCAGGGCTGCTGCGCACAGTTGTATAGGCCGTGTAATGTCTACAATGCAGCAGCACTGCTCAAGGGTAAGGGTAAAGTCTTATTTCTCTAATCTTGCTCTTCCAGATGTACACCTTTTCCCAATAGGGCCCAAAGTTCTTTCTAGCATAAAAACTTATGTTATCCTATAGAAAGTCAGAAACACACAAGGACCAAGAAGTCATTTTTTCTCTGCAAAAATGCTCTGGACTTGCTTCTCCTCAGTGGGTACCCTAAACACAGCTAAATGTGGACTGAGAACTGACGGAGGCATGAGCAGTGCCGTGGTGGCAACATGCACTCATCTACTCCTACCGGGACTGCCGGCTCCTCTAACCAACAGCCTCGCTGCAGGGAAACTGACCAAGAAGCTAACAATTGGAATCTATCCCTTGGACCTCTCCAGCACAGATGATCTAAATGACTGAGTGAAATACTTACTGGCAATACCAAAAAGTAAAACCAAATGAATAAAGTTAACATTAGACATTGTGTTAAACACATTAAATATCCCAAAACATAGGAATACTACTGCTCCCTCTTTAGAGCTATAAAAACTGAAGCCCAAGAGTAATAAAGAAACAGTCCACATCACAGAGCTAGCAGGTAGAAAGGAAGCACATGAGCTGGGCAGTCTCCAGAGCACCAGGGGGACATGGCCTCCCTCTGGGGAGGAGTCCCGCCCACAGCAGTGCAGCCATTGCTGGAAGCAGGCAGCAAGTGCCACAGCGGAGTGTGAATTTGGAAACTGAGGGCAGCAGCACACTGCATGCGAAATGTTGGTGGCATGCTCCAGCCCCAAGAGGGAATGCTAATCTTTCTACCCCTGGGAGGAGTAATTCTGGTCAAAGGCAGGACTCACCAAAGAGTTGCTAAGCAAGCAGCAGGCCTACTGAGAGGCCTCAGAGCACAAGGATTTTAGCACTGCTCATGTGAGAAATGTTTTGAGATGGTTTCCTCTTTTGGCCTTTCTCTCTGGATTGGACTGCTAGGGTTCTTAGAGCTGGTTTCCCAGTACAGGAACCAGTTCCCTCTGGAGGGCCCAATAATTACACAGCAACAGCATAAGAAGAGCCCCCTTTGGCCTATATCTGATCTATGCTCAAAGTGTCTATCTACGTGGGGACCTATGGCCAAAGCTGCAGCTAGTCAGAGAGCATTTGTTCATTATTTATTTATTATTCACTTATTTAGAGCTGGGCCTGGAACCCCATCCTCAGAGTTTGGCAGGCGTCAGAGGAGGCCACCAGTCAAGAATGCAGAGACGTGGGAGCGTGGCCCAATCTCTTACCCCAAAGATGAGCCCAGCAGTGATCCTCTATCTCCAGCAGCTCTCCACTCTAATAATCCTAACTACACAAAATGCACGGCAGCCATATCCCAACTCCCTCTCCCTAATCTTTGTCCTCTTCTCCAAAGTACCACATGGAGATGCTACTGAGCTGATGATCGGAGAGAGCCTGGAGCACAAAGCCATCTTAGCGATAGCACAAAGGCGATGGACACTGCCAATCTAAGCAAAATGGCCATTCTGTAATCATATGGTCAAATAACAAAAGGAACTCACAAACCCTAGAGTCATACCCAGCCAGTGACAACCACCCTGCAAATCTGTTCTCTAAAGCAAGAGTGTGTCAGCCACATATTAAAACCAGGTCTAAAGTTAGGGAAATGACCAAATCCACTCAATGGGGTAAGATAACAAACATAAGCCTCGAATAATCTTGAGAATCACAATGGGACTCCATTTCTACCCCTGTATCACTAGGGAATAATGACATTTTTCTTCTCAGGTAACTGCAATTTACAAGTGCTAATACACTTGCAGGCACACCATGGTGGCAGCACTGTAACAGGCTTTTTCTAACCAGGAGACTAGGGTCTGAGTCTTGGCAAAATTCAGAGTTGAAGGCACAAAGACAATGCTGTGCACAGGACTGAAACACTTCCACAGAAGGGAAATATGGAAAAACAGATCATTATAATTAAAGTTTCCACTTCCAATATAATAAATGCTAAACCACTTCTGAAGGGTAAATATGTTGCCCACCCCCTAAAACAGCCAAAATGCATTTAATATGTATCATCGAACATGTGCAAAGATTGCAGTAAATTGCTTCACGAACGCAAATTATTGCAATCAGCATCTTGTTTTCTAGTTCTAAATTCAAAGGCAAACTATTAACACAAGACTGCTAACTCTTGCTATTATCACACTTGCTATTATCACACATCCTCCTTCTAACAAAACCACATTTCCAGATGGACTGCCAAAATTAGTCAAGTGACTCCTAAGACATACTATCAAGACTGACATACCAGAAATTCATTTAGAAATGAATGCTTTATTTAAATAAAGGACACACACACCCAAACACACCTTTCCTAGGGAAATTCAAGTTGCTTTCTTTACAATTCAACTTGAATTGCAGCTCAGCAAGGCCATCTGAGGAACAGAGGGACAGCTGGGCTGTTATCCTATCAGCATACTGATTAGTCCTCAGAGTCAAATGGGACACACTTACGATTTCTGTGTGTGTGGGCTGGGCCTGACTGGGAAATCCTCATAATAAATTAAGCAAAATATTTAAACTCAACCCAGACAAGGTATGAGTGACACAACGATCCAGTCAAGAGTGGTCAGCTCTGTGATGACATCACTGGTTACTCTCCTTTTCAGGCTGCTTTGTGTTTACTCTGCACTGGACATAAGACTAATTTTTAAAAACATATGAATACCCAGCAACACATAACTCAAGCGGATTAAATTACTGCAGTGCATTCTGTAAGCAGCCATTCCTGCAGAATGTAATTATCAGAGCTGTTGGTTCCATGGACTAGAACTAGCTGCTTTGTTTGAATCTGGAAAATGCAAGACAGCAATTTTCATATATAACTGAGGAAGCTGTGGGCTCAAAAACCAAAGCAGGCTCTGAGGCCAGGAAAGGAATCAGATTCTCCATACCAAAAAAGGCTCATCCTGAATGGAAATGATGTACAATTCCCTTGGGGAATGTTCCCTTGGGGGAACGGCTAGCCACAGAAGTCCTTTCTAGAAGAAAAGATAATCCCTTCTATCTAATGGTACCTTCTTGAATGTACACACTTGGAAAAAAGAAAACCAACTTACCACTGGCCAGCTTTAAAAGAAAAGTCTTGATCGGCAACAAGCAAGCGGAGGCTCTTCACTGATGGTGACTCATTGGCAGCTGCGCACACCTTAGCTGCTGACACAATCTAAAACCAAACAACGAACAGTGGCTGATGTTAGTACATACACAACAAGGGACAAACGGTGGCTTTCCAGGAACTAAGGTTTTTTGAAACCTACTGAGATGTGGTTTTTGAAAATTGCCAAACAAGGTAAAGTATAACTTTGCTTTAGTTCTGCCTACCACCAGGTGAACAAATTTTAATTAACATCATTTTGGGAGACTTCCTATCATACTCATTTAATTTATTCTGCACATAAAAACTTTCTCTTAAAGGGACCACTTAACCAGCATTTATTTGATGAGTATCCATCATGTGCCATGCACTGGGCTAGGCACTCTGGGAAGAGCTCAGGGAATGGGAACCTTGTAAATAACCCTGTGTGGCATCTACAGTCCCCATCATTGAGGGTCCCTGTTGCTTCTGAGTGTGTACGGAGTGCATCACAAGCTAATTGCAGAAATTAAAAGTAAGCACTTAGAAACATTTTTAGCAATTTTACAGAGTAATTCTGTGTGTTTTGAATCTAGTAATAGAAATCAACTGGGTTTGTGCTCTTTATGTCTTTGGTTTTTTAATTCATTTTTTTCTAATTCATTTTGTATCATACAGTATTTTATATTTTATAAAATACAGTTTACAACTTTAAAACAACAACAAGAGCCCTTCCCTATAGATTGTTTGAGAAGAACTATTCTAAATGACATATCTGATTTTTGGAAAGCCCTGAACAGGTCACAGGTCTGATGCAGGGGCTATTCAGGTAAGTGCCATCCATGCCTCAGCACCCCTCAAATTCAACAAGTAGGGAAAAAAGACAACATGACTCTTTCCTCAATCTCCTACTGTTCAACTTCACTTGTGGCAGCAAATCAACTCAGTAGCAGTTGACCAAAATACAGCCCTCTCCTGGAGGGTGTTACCTTCAAGGCTCCACCAAACAGTGCCTTGGAAATCTGTCAAGGTCGATGAATGGCCCAGCCTAATGCTAGCTCATTCAGGTCCTTTTCTCCAATAGGACTACTGGGTCTAATTAAACTATCAATGGGAGACCATTTTTAAAAATCCGCTGGAAAATTCTCCTGATGGACAGTGGCCTCCCTCACCACCTCAAAGTATCTCCTAAAACTGTCTACCTTTTCATTTCTCCTGCAAAATCTCTTGGCTTTTTCTCTGTATTTTTGCCAAGCCTCTCTTCTTCCTCTCCCAAAGAGCAAGTGGTGTGATTTTTCCATTACTAGCCCTCTCTCCCTGTGCTCTTGATCCTCTGAAACACTGCTCTGTCAGCAGCCACCAGCCCTTTCCTTCATGTTCAATTTTCCTCTCTTTAGTATCTTCCTGTTTCATTAGACATGACATCTAATGGCATCTGCTCAGCCTGACCAATTCAGAAACAAAATAAAGGAAGTAGCAGAATTTGGCTGTTAACAGCATGGGCTCTGCAGCTGAACCGGCTGGTTTAACCCTGGCTCCACCATTACCAGCCATGTGACTCTGGCAAATTACCTAGGCACCCCCCACCTATAAAATGAGAACACCTATAGCTCATAGGGTTCCTGGGATCATTAAATGAGATAATATATGCAAAAGCACCTATAATACTGCTGGTCCACAGAACTCATTAAGTGTTGGTTACAATGTACAGGCATGTGCCACACAACTTTTCAGTGAATAATGGGCTGCATACACAACGGTGGTCTCATAAGATTATAATACTGTATTTTTACTGTACCTTTTCTATGTTTAGGTACACAAATGCTTATCATTGTGTTACAATTCCCTATGGTATTCAGACAGTAACATGCTGTGCAGGTTTGTAGCCTAGGAGCAATAGGCTATACCATATAGCCTAGGTGTGTAGTAGGTTATACCATCTAGGTTTATGTAAGTATACTCTATGGTGTTCACACAACATTACTCAGGAACACATTTCTCAAAACATATACCTGTCATGAAGCAACACATAACTGTATTTTATTGCATTAATGAGAATTAATTGATTAGTATTTGTTTTACATTATATATTATACTTTATTCATTTTGTTTTTATATATATGCCATATATATTTCTGCCAATCACAGTGCTGCTACACAGAACCTTACAGGCTTAAGTGCACCCCAGGAGAACTGCTCACATGGACAACAACAAAGAGCTGTGCAGAGTGGTGGGCTGATACCACAGGTACACCCTAGCCTATCAATTACTTTGCCAGTGCAAATTCCAAAGCTATACTGTCTTTAAGATATTTTATTTCCATGCAAGAGATGGAGATGGAAAACAAAAGAAGAAAAGAAGGTTATTTTAGAAATCTTGCCTTTCATCCCTTCCTCCACTGAGATGATCAGCTCTTCCTTAGCCTGTAGAATCTTCCCTTTTTCCTAGATGCTCTCCTTAACCACAGGGAATCTGGCTTCTTCTGCTCTCCTGTAACTTCTTTTCCAAGGTTGGTCAATGTCTTCCTGAGCAACCAAATTCAATGTCTAGTCTCAGTTCTCATACTCCCTGATCTCTCTCAATTTGGTACTTTCCACACTAAAGCAGTCTCCTTGCCTGGGATAGCCAAAATTGAACTCTTAAGGTCCTCTCCTGCGTCTCCAACCTGGTTTTTCTTTTCTCCTTTACCACTCCTTCTGCCACTTCCTCAGTGGAAGCTTTCCTTAAACTGCCTCACTCCTACTCGAGTACCACTCCCTCCTCTAAGTTCAGGACCTCGAGGACTCACAGGCTACTGTTCCCAATCCCAGAGACTATTCATTACTTTTCTGCCAATCACAGGCTCACATCTACTCTCACCATAAGTAAAAACAGTTAATGCCTGAAGAGTGCTTACCTCATGTATATACCAGATGTTAGGTTAAACGTTTTATGTGTATTATTAATTCATTCAGTTGATATAAGTAATCATACTATATCCCAAAAGATAGTTTTGTTATCCTCCATCTTGCAGAACTTGCTCAAGATCTCCTAGCTAGGAATTGCCAAGTCAGGATTCAAATCCAGGTCAGGCAGGCCCTTAATCACCTGACAGTTCTGTCCCAGTGGTAAAGTCACTTATGCATACAACTCAGTCCACCACATTCCTTCCTTCCACAATTTTTTTTTTTTTTTTGAGACAGAGTCTCACTCTGTTGCCCAGGATAGAGTGCTGTGGCATCAGCCTAGCTCACAGCAACCTCAAACTCCTGGGCTCAAGCAATCCTTCTGCCTCAGCCTCTCAAGTAGCTGGGACTACAGGCACAAGCCACCATGCCTGGTTAATTTATATATATATTTTTTTTTAGTTGGCCAATTAATTTCTTTCTATTTTTAGTAGAGGCGGGGATCTCGCTCTTGCTCAGGCTGGTTTCCAACTCCTGACCTTGAGAGATGTGCCAGCTTCAGCCTCCCAGAGTGCTAGGATTACAGGTGTGAACCACTGTGCCTGGCCCCTTCCACATTTCTTAAGCATGGTGCCCAAAACTGTGGGAATCAGGATGCAGATGTGGAGAAGGCTGCCTGCCCTCACAGGGCCCTGCAAAACTAGCTTCTTTCTAGCACCAGGATTTCAATTCTTGAACTCAATACAGTCAAATATATTTCTGTTGATATACAAACACACACTTTTCTTTTTTGGCATTTCGTCCCTAACATAGCCACATTCCATGAATTCAGTTAATGTCTTTTCATTTCCTTGCCCACCTGCCACCATCCTAAGTTGAGAATTTCTCTCTTCTCACTTGAACTATTACCTTGGCCTCCTTCTTGAGTCTTGTAAAGCAGCCAAGAGGCAAATATTCTCAATGTTCTAATTTCACTGAGTTATTCCCAGCTCAAAAGCCCTCAAGGGCTCTCTACCACTCAACTATAAAAAAATTGCTAAAAGGCCTATTTAACTCATACCAGCTCAAACTCCTGCTTGTGAGGTGGTGGTTTACCAGCCAAACTGGACAACCTATTGGTCCTCAAAGGTACTTAATCCCTGTCTACCACCCAAAACTCTGCCTAAGTCCTTCAGCAAACACCACGCTCTCTCAGTTCTGTCTTCCGACCTCCTGCTCATCCTTAGGCCCTGCTCAAATACTCCCTATGCCTGCGGTCTTCCCTCTTCTCTCTATCCTCTCAACTGAACTAATACATAATGCTTGCCTTTCTTATCATATTTAGCCATACTAATGTAAATTACAGACACTCACAAACATGCCTTTCCACCACATGGATCATAGCCATAGATCTGAATCATAGCCATAGATCTAGATCGAGCACAGGGCCCAACATACACTAAAGCTCAGTAAGGATTTGCAGAATGAATAAAAACTATAACTTAAAGTCACTTAAAATTGGTTTCCAGAACAATGATAGGTAAATGTTCAGCTTTTTGTTGTTTAAAAAAAGTTTGTGTGTGTGTGAATACACAGAAAATCCAGGATCACGTTCAATAATGTGGAAGAGGTCAGAGAGGGAAGAGATTTCTTCAGCAGAACTGGTATCTTCCTTTGCCTACCACACATTCTATTTTAAGTATCTCATCACAAAGCCAAGTAAAAGAATCAGCAGAGGTCTCACCATTAATTTATTATCCCCATTTTTTATGTTTACAAAAAGGAAATGTTATTTTATATAAAATAAGCATTATTTTCTTTCAATATTATAATCTGTTAAAACATAGCCAGGAGCTAGATTATTTTATTTCTAACAGCTTAACTGGCATCTGTTGGATTCCTTAACAAAACTAGGTATATATAAGCTTTAAACAAATCCAGAAGAGTAACCTGGTAACAGGGAAATCAACATTCATAATCACTGCAAAGGGAGCAGAATTTCAGCTGAACTATGTGAGAATGCTTCATAATCAAATGCTAGACTATGTGAAATGGAATCATTTCCCAATGTCCAAATATAAAATTCAATGAAGAGAATGAAAGCTAAAATTTCTATTAAGCCATATTTTCATTTGGATACAATTTATAATGAAAAATCTTCCCATATGCATTATGTCTATTGGTATTACAGGTTAAGTTTCCCTTATCTGAAACATTTGGGACAA